GGCTGGGCTGGGGGGCCTGGGCGGGGGCCCGCTCCGGCTCCGGCTCTAGCTCCCGAGACTCCGACTCCTACTGCTGTTCACATCCCTGCTCTTGTTCCCTCCCTGGGCCGGGAAGGGAGGCGGCCTGTACGGTGAGCGGGCGGCCCGGGCAGTGGCTCCCTCGGGTGCCCCCGGACCCGATCCCCCGGCGGCAGCTCCGGGCTCCTCAGTTTGGGTCCAACATGGAGAATCCGGAGCGAAAACAAGAGGAGGAAATGGGACACGGGGCGGTTTCCAGGCTCCCCCCTCCCCTCCGTACTCCAGATAAACAACCCGCGGCTGCAGAGCCCACCCCCGCGCGCCTCCTGGCTCTGGACCCGGCCTCTCTATAGCCCGCCGGCGCCTGCCGCCTCGAAGCACCGTCCTAGGCCCTGGGCCCCTCCACCTGTGAGCAGCCCGGGCTGTGGAACATCCGGAGCTTTGCTATTTTGTTACAGAAAAAGCGAATCCCCGAGGGGGGTGGGGTGGCGGGCGGGCAGGCTGGAGGGGGAGACTTGAAACTGCTCCGGCGCTCCGATTGGCCCTCTCCGAGAAAGGGGGCGTGGCCTCTCCTTACTATGCGGTGCGAGGACCCAACAACATTCCAGACGCTACGGCCACGCCCCCTGGCCACTCCCCCCTCGCCAGGCTGCGGCCTCCCAGTCTCCTCGGCCACACCTCCTTCCCAACTACTTAAAAGGACTCTCCGAAGCTCACGTTTCTTTACTCCGTGCAGGAGTGTCCCCATCCGTGCGTCAGTACTCGGGTAAGGTGGAATGGTTCCGCCCTTCCGTAACCAGGGCAAGCCGCGAAGCCTAACCCAGGTCTGGCCAGGATGAGAGAAAGGGTTTGGGCAGTTGCCTTACTTCCTGCTTGGCTCTCGAATCGTCGACACACTGTTTCAGATAAGAGTACAACCATCGAAACCTGAAAGAGATGTGTGTGTGTAGAAGGACTCAGGACTGCAGAGTATAAGAATTAGAACTGACCTCGGGATGGTCTGATCCCCACAGTTGAAATGAGACATGAAGAGCCAGGCTTTGCTCAAAGCCACTCACTCCCGTTCAGGGCTTTCCCACTTCTCCTCCTCCCAATCCAGGCCTCCTCCCTCCCCCACAGTCCCAGTCTCAGTTTAGATGCATAGAGGTCTCTAAGGGTAGAGCTTCCACTCTGTGGACTCTCGCTGCCCTCCCTCCTTGCTTTTAGGCCCCAGGCACCCTCCGCTGACTTTGTCTCCTGGAGTCTCACAAACCTACTGCTCAAGATTGTAGGTGAGGGATATTCATTTGTTCCCAAGAAGTGGAAGCTCCAGAAAGTCAACTTTCAGCCCAATATCAGGTCTTTTCCAGTGAGCTACAGCTGTCCACAGGTGACATGGGCTGCCATGGGAGGAAGAGAGTTGTTCAAGTCAAGGCTGGTAAGAGGGATGTACAGTGAGATTGTACTGGGTGACTTATGAGCTGCTTCCAACCCCAATAGTCTATGATTCAACGGTACTCACCCTGCCAAGGAAGGAACTTTAAGGAAGGTCAGGACTTCTCTGGTCCCTGGGAGGGTCGGGGCAGCTGACGACCTTCCTGCTATAGTTCCCATTGCCCCACCTGCACCAGGTCTCACTGGGGGTTGGAAGACAAGCAGGTCACAGCTAAACTCTACAGATACTGTCAAATACCTTCTCCCCATGGGGACAGGTGAGGTGGTGATGTGTATGTGCCTGTGTGCCCTAACAGTGCTCATGTGTACCTGTTCCTTCTGTTCCTACATATACATACACAAAACTTTTCATATAACACCACTATAATGGAAATGCAGTTTCTCCAAAATGAAAGTAGCTGTTACAGAAGATCTGAATGATGCTTATGTAACTTTAAACACTGAGTTTGGGTAGATCCTAATTCATTAACAGAAGGGAAAAGGAAGAGTTTGCACATCTTTACCGTCCATCATTATCTAAAAATCATTAAAACAAAAGGATTCTTAAGGTTAATCTTCAATAGGCAGGTTGCTAGGGGGCCTTTTGGGCCCTGCCCCCACTCTCTTGCAGGGTAGTTCAGCTGCAGTGGGAGAAGGAGGAGTGAAGGCAGGAACTGAGGACTGAGGATTGAGGGGTGCCTGCTACTCCCAGCTCTGTAGTGTTGGGCACTTAACCTCTTGACCTGTCTGCACTTCCATTTTCTCGTCCATAGAGAAAATCCCTCCCCCTTTTATAGCTTACAAAGTACTTTCACATACATTTTCTGTCTCATTTGATCTCTTACTGCTTTGAGGTTGACAGAGCAGATATACCCATTTTGTCGGTGAGGAAACAGGGTCTGGAAAGGTTAACTGACTCACCTAAGGTCTCACAGCTTGTTAAGAAGAGGAGGCAGGACTAGAAGTTGTCTTTAAACTCTAAGACTTGAATCTGACACCTTACCATAGTTCCTTTCTTATCTATAGGATGGAAGAGATACTAGAACCCAGTCATTGACTTCTTGCTAAGAACGGCTGACTGCCTCACCTCCTCTGGGAAGCCCTCCCAGATACCCACTCTCACATCAGAGCTTTCTAGCCTCCTACATACTCTCTCAGAACACTTAGCATCATGTTTTGCAGACAGTTTGCTTACTGACTTCCCAACCAGAAGATGAATTGAGACTGTATTAAATTCATTTTGAATCTAGCATAATGCCTAACACAGAGCAGGTAAGCTTTCTTTATCTATTTGCTATACTAGTCTTGACTCTATGTCTTAACCAGTGTTCTGAACGAGGGGTTTGGTGACCCACAGCAATAAACAAATTTTGGTAGCATGGGGAAATATATTCAATATCCTGTAATAATCCATAATGGAAAATAATATGAAAAAGAATAGATATATGCATATAACTGAATCACTTTACACTAGAAACTAACACATTGCAAATCAACTATACTTCAATTTAAAGGAAAAAAGGAACACGTTTTGTATTGTGAGATGGCTAAAGCAAGTTTCATGGGACAATACTTATCCTGCTATGTGCATGCATTCTGATGCTTTCTATTTATTGCATCCTATTTCATTTGTTTTAAATGCTGGCCATGACTCTCTAAATGGATTTCACGACTCACCACCAGGTTGTGACCCCATCCTTGGAACCATACTGCTTTCATCTCTGCATGCTGTGGACATCTTCTGTGTGAAGGGCTCCAGCTATCCCTGAAAGACACGCGGGAGATAGCCCTCAAGTACCTCTTGCTCTGATGTCAAAGAAAGGTTCATTTGCAGGGAAACATAGAGAAGCCCTTCTAAGGCCAGAGGCACAAGGGTGCAAATATAACCCAGGGTGGAGAGGTCAGATGAGAGAAAGGTCCCAGAGAGGCCTGGTGAGGGCCTTTGTGCCTCCAGAAACTACAAAGGCAGTGGCAGCTTTATTGGAGCCTGGAACACAGACTGGCAGGGCCTGGACTATGATGCCACAGGCCTCTCCCTGCTCTGTCCCCAGATTACAGATCTCTGCCCCAAAACGCTCTCTGGGGTCATGATGGGCCTCTTTCCTACAATTAAGGGGGTGGGGGAGGTGAAACGGCTAACTTCTGCCTCAAGCAGCCTGGTAAATAACCTCCTGCCTCCAGGCCCTGGGCCAGCTGCTGGCTGTGTGACTTTGGGTAGGCTCCGTTTAATTACGTTCAAGGGTGGTAGCTGAGGCCAGGGCTCTCTAGGCCTAACAACTCTCCCAAGAGAAAGCTTATGGACTATCTCTGGTCACCTACCTGTTCCATCCCTTTATCTCAACTTTACCTCCACCTGAAGGTTGATGAGAGGCAGTTTGGAAACAACACACCTTCTCTCCCCCCACCCCAAGTCAAGTAGTGGGGTAGTGAGGGTGGGGCTCAAAGGAGTGCCGTCTGTGCCTGTCTCCCATGGTTACTTGGGTTGGACTGGGTGTTTCTGAGCCAAGGTTTGGGAAAGGGAAACGGAGCTGGAGGAGCTTCCTCTACAGGAGGTGAACACTTGCTTCAGAACCCTGCCCCTTCCCCCACAGAAAATAAATAACAGGGTTGAGCCCAAGGAGACCCTTTCATGACCCTCTGATGTCACTGAAATTTTCCATTAAATTAAAAACAATTTTTTATTACAAATGGAACACATCCATTTTCTTGCTTTCTCTGATTGTTCCTGCAGAGTCTCAGTTCCGTTTCGCATTGTAACTGAGAAGGTGGGGTCTCAGCACCGCGGTTCCAGAGCCCTGTGCCCTCCTGTCACAAGGCTTCTGGGGCAAGGTCCTAGGGGTGAAATGAGGTGGGTTGAAAAAGACCCAGTGACAGTGACTGAACAGTTGTGGGGACTACCAGATGCCAGGGGGCTGGGGAGGAAGGGAGGAGTTAGTGGCAGTGGCTATAGCTTCTTCGTAGAGTAGCCCGGGAAGCTCCCTGGGGCTTCAGATTAGAGATGAGGAATTCTGCAGGGTGCAGGCATGTGCATCATCCCAACCCTAGTACTTAGTTATTGGACCTCCTGATTTAGTTTCTTCATCCTAAACTGGGGATAACAATAGTACCTATTCCATAGGTTATTATGAGGATTAAATGAGATAATATGTGAAGCACTGAGCACCTGAAACACCGGAGATGCTCAATAAATATTACTCTCATTATCATCAACCCTGCCTTCTGCACCCATCATCTGCCTGGTTCTCCAAGCCAGAAACCTGAGGTCACCCAAGACTCTTCCTTCCCACTCATACCCATCCCCAATCCATCCTGAAGCCAAGTGGCTCTTTGCCTCACCAGTATTTGTCAGGCCTTTTCATTCTTCCGATTCCCACTACTGCTGTCTCAGGGGAGGCTGGCAACAGGCACCTAATCACCTAATCTCTCCTTCTCTAGGGCCCCAATCCAAATCCATCCCCAGCTCTCCTAGAAGATGCAAATCTGATCCTGTCTATATAGAATGATTCAGCAGTTCCCCATGACTTGCAGGACAAGCTCAGATACCTAGCTCTGGCTCCTGGTGATTCACCCACCCCATCTCACACACCTTCCCCATATCGCCCGGGCTTCTGTCCTGTGAAAGTAGGCACCTGTGATTCTTTGGCACTGTGTGTGCTTCCACACTTCTGCACAGGCGGTTCTTTCTGCCTGGATGCCTTTTCCCCAACCCCTGTGTGATGACTCCTCATCCTTTAAAATACAGTTCAAGTGCCACCTCTTCCTCAGATCCTCCCAGGTCCCAGCCTGACTCAGATGCTCCTCTTTGCTCCTGTATTTTCATTCTCGTTTGCTTGACTGTTCCCACCACGCCAGTGTAAGCTGCTTGAGGGCAGGCACAATCTGTTTTTCACCACACTCCAGTGCCCTCACAGAGCTTGGCTCACAGTAGGCTCTGTTGGAAGCTAGTCCCCGCAGGCACTTTCCTTCCTGGGCACTGCTGATCTCCTGGGCCACTGAGCCAGTGAAGCTGGGAGGCAGGATGCCAGCCTCCTAGACACTTTCTCCACCACCCAGGACAGGGGAGTCCCAGACCTGGAGCAGATCTTCGGCGCCTGCTGGCCACCACAGGTGCAGGAGTGTGGGACTCAGGAGTCCTTCACTTCTCACCCGGGCTTTGGAAACGAGGCCGAGCCGATTGAGGCTTGGTGGAACAGACGGACACCGTCGCCCAGGCATTTGGAAAGGGAGGGTGGGGTGGACGAACCCGCAGTAGCGCAGACCCTCGACTTCCCCACCCCATGGTCACTGTGCGAGCCTGTAAGATGAGGACAAATGGATCTATATGGGGCGGGAGCCGCCGAGCCTGGCCGGGATTCCGGCCTGCCTCGATCCGGGTTCCTCAGGAGCACAGCCTCTCCCTCCCCCCAGCTAGGCCTGGGCATCCACGTGACCTGCGCCCCCAGGAGCCACTAATCGCCTGGCTCCCTCCCTTCTCCTAAATAGGGAAGCGACAGGAGCAGATCGAGTTTCTCGGCCC